TTTTTTTTTTTTTTTTCATCTTTTTAAAGAAAAATTAGATCAAATGCAACTTTTAGACGAAGATAAAAATTTGGTTAAAAAAAAAAAAAAAATGAAAATACTAGAAAATAAAATAAAAAAATGCACTTATTAAATTTATTTCATTTAATGATACAATTAAGAAATATCCCATGAGAACATTTTACGTGTTATCAAAATCTTTTTTTAAATGTGAGAATTACCTGATCAATTTTTTGAGTAAAAAGAATTGTATGAATATCAATAAAAAATATTTTTCAGAGAAAAGTATAATAAACTCAATAAGAAAAGCAAAAAATAAACTGGATAGGGGTTCTTTGTATTTATTACAAGAAGTAAATTATGTCATATTTATTTTATATTTATTTTAATTTCTTTATATATTAATTAAAAAATATATGTATTATATATAAAGGGAAATACAATGACAATATTATTATATTAGTTAGTTATATTAATTATATATAACAATATAAATGTATTATTATGCATTTCTTATATATATATATATATATATATATATATATATACTTACTTTTTCTGATACATTTTTTCTTTTTTTTTTTTTTAAACTTTTTTGATTAGTCAATTAACAATGATTGCAAATTTTTAAATGAAGAAAAGAAAGTGAAGTTTCAAAAAATAATTAATGAGTTAAACGATTTGTTAAATGAGAAGTTTTATTTGATAGAAGAAAAAACTAAAGTATATAATAAGACACATTTTATTTAATTTTTTCTAAAAAAAAAAAAAAATAAAAGATATAAAAACAATTTTTAATTAATCTATTTTTTTATATATATATTTCTAAATTTTTAGATATTAAATCAAAAAAATTCAAATAAATATAAAAATAAAGAAATTTTTGGTTTATTTGTAGCAGGATTTTTTTTTGCCATTGGTTCAGTCACCCATTCTATTTTTTATTTGGTTTAAATAAATATATGATAAAAACAATTATAAAATAAGAAAAAAATAATTTTAGTTTTTTTTTTTTTTTTTTTATTTTCTTAAGGCAAGTATATACGGTTTTTATATATTAAAGAAAGCTTCTACAGAAAATAATAGTAAGATATATATGGAAACAAAATTAAATAACAATAAGAACAAATTAATAATAAATAAAAGAAATATAGATAATCTTTTAAATGTGTTAGAAAACGATTTTTTAAAAATAAAATAAAAAATATATCCTTTTTTTTTTTTTTAAATTTTTTAATATAACTATTTTCAATTATTTATATTGATATTAATTTACATTTTGAGTAAAATTTTATGAATATGTACTATTATACACATACATTACTAAAAAAATTATTTGCTTATTTTTATTTTTTTTTTTTTTTTTTCGTTTCAATATAAATCATATGTAAAAAAGATTATTATTATATAATTAAATTTTTTTTTCCCTTTTTTTATTTAAATTTATTTAATTTTTTTATTATAACTTTAATAATACTTATCCTCTAGAAACATATATATATATATACATTTTTTTTTTAATTTTTCATGTCTAAAATTTATTATTTTCTATCATAATTTAAAATTAATTTAAAAAATAAATTACTTTTTAATTATTATTATATTTTTTCCTAATCTATTTTATTTAATATATACATTATATTTAAAATCTAACTTTCTTATAAAAATTAAGAAATGATAATAAAGGAAAGAAATAATACTTATATAGAAAGAAAAGAAAAAGTAAAACATCAGAAAAAGAAAAAGGAAAAGGAAAAAAAGGAAAATGAAAAATTAGAAAATAAAAAAAAAGATAATATAAAGAAAAAAAATGATATGAAAAAAAAAAATGAAATAGATATTAAGAATAAAAATGAAGTAGATATTAAAAACAAAAGCGATACTGATACAAAAAATAAAAATGAAAAAGAATATGATGAGAAAAAAAAAAAAATAGAAAATGATATAAAAGGTAAAAACGAGAATAATGAAAAAAAAAATCATATTTTAAAAAATACAACATTGATTGATACATATATAATAAATGAAGATCCAAAAAAATTAGGAGATGAAAAAATACATCATAAAAATTTTAATTCATTAATAAGGTTAATTTTTTTCATATATTTCAATATATATAAAAAAGAAACAAAATAGGATTTTAAGCTAGTGATATAAGAAACAATATGATTTTAAGTAATATTTGTATTATTAATTTCTTTTTTTTTAATTTATTTTTTATTTTATTACAGAGTTGTAAATATAGAATTAGAAAAAAATATAAAAAATATAATAGGAATAGATTTTTGTGATGAACTAAGTAGTATAATTTTTAAAAATTTCCATTCTGTTGTCATAAAAAAAAATTACTTATTTTCACTTTTTCAAAAATATATGGGCACTGACGAATTAATTATAATAAATAACTCTCTAACTGTACAAATATAAAATGATTATATAAAAATTAAAAAAAAAAAAAAAAAAAATAACAAATTAATAAATAAATAATTTTTGTATCATTTTTGCAAACTATATTTAGTTAGTCTCATTTTTTTTTCTTTTTTTATATTTTTTAAGGACTATAAAATTGATGATCTTTTAATTTTTAGAAATACTCAAAAGTACTACAAAAAAAATTATGCACTAGTTGTAGATGAGAAAATATTCTCTTACTTCATAAAGGTCTAATTTTTTTTTTTTTTTTTTTTTTTTATATTGTCTAATTTTTTTTTTGTTCTATATGTCTTGTATATTTTATTTTTTTTCTTTTTTATATAGAAAGATAAAAATGCTGAAATAAATTTAGATGAAAGTAAAAATAAAAATAACAGTATAGTTGGTTCTAATAAAAAAGAAGAATTGAATTGTATTTTTATAAAACCAAAAGAATATATTTCATTGAATGAAGAAGAAATTGAAAATGAAATAAGATTAACAAATATAATAGAAAATAGAAAAAAATTTAAAAAATATATATACATTAATAAAAAGAAAAAATTATTTATAAAACCTGAATTTATGGAAAAAGATGAATTCATCAGCATTAAAAATAATATAACAGTAAAATAATAAAAATAATAATCCATATATATATATATATATATATATATATATATTTATTTATTTATTTATTTAAGAATATAGCAATTTTTCTTAACTTTTTTTTTTTTCTTGTATTTAACCATTTTAATGTTTATCTTTTTATATGTTAGCCTAATTCAGTGTTAAAAGAGAAAACTTTAGATTTTTTTTCAAAAAATTCAATTATACTTCAAAGTAAAGGTTGTCAAACATATCAAACAATATATAAAAGTTTAGGAACACAATATAATATAGAATTTTTAAAAAAGAAAAAGGAAGAAATATTAAAATCCAATAAGTTACATAAATTTCTTTGTAAATTTTTTCCAATTATTGAAAAATCTATAATAGAAAATTTAATCTTATCACAGAAAGAGGAACAAAAAAATAAACAGAGCAATGATATTTCCCCATTTAAAAATATAAAATATTTAAATAAAATATTTATATATACAGACGTGAAATATACAACAGACAAAGTTGTTTTATTTACATTTTATTTATCTTTAATAAATTATTTAATATTTATAATATACGTAAATAATTATAAAAATAATAATTTTATTGAGGGAGTTAACACAGATAGTTACATTCTGGTTTGGTGTTATAATAACTACATAAATCCATTATATGCTTTAATATCTCCATATGTAAAAATATTAAAAATAATATAAAAATTTTTTTTTAATTATTTGAATAAAATAACAGATATTCTTTTTTAAATATATACTTTTAGCAAATTTCGAGTGTTGCTGTAAATGAAAAGGATTATAATTTGGTTATTGCTGGATGTAGTAATGGATTGGTTTGTTTTTTTTTTTTTTTTTTTTTTTTTTTTTTTTTTTAATAAATAAAATTATATATGTACATGTACATATTTGAACATATGATTGTGTAGCTAGTCATTTGGAAATTACCTGAAAATTTTTATGGAAAATCTATTTTAGATTCTAAAATAAGTACTAAAAAACATATAACTAATACATATATATAATTACTAGATTTTTTTATTTATTTATTTTTTTTCAAGATGAAAAAACAATTGATGTAGAACCATATTTGTTTAGTAGTATTGAACAATCACATAAAAGAGAAGTAACCTCTCTTATATTTTTAAAAGACAAAAACTTGATAATATATGAAAAGAAAATATCTTTTAGTTATCAAAAAAATTACCATTTATTAGTTTCGATCTCTGGTAAATATTTTTTTTTTTTTATATATATTATTTTTTTTTTTGTTACTTTTATTGTTATTTTTTATTTTTTTTTTTACCTAGTTGATGGAACAATTTTAATATGGGATGTAACAAATATTGAAATAATTGAAGTAAAAAATAACATGAAAAAAAAGGAAAAAGAACTTACTGATGAATTGTATAGCTTTAAACCAATTTTTAAGATAACTACTACTAGACCAAATACGGGTAATGTTTATATATTCTAATTTTTAATTATTCATAAATTATAAAATATTCATAAATAGAAAAAATTTATTTCAATTACTTCACTGTTACAATTATTCTAACCTAATTCATGATTATTCATAAAAAAAAAAAAAAAATAGAAGAATTATTATTTTAATATTTTTTCTTTTTTTTTTTATAGAATATTCTTTGGGATTTACATATCTTCATTTTATAGAGATTAATCAAAATGTTTCATCATTTTTCGCATTTTCAGTAATTTTCTATACTCTATAATCGTATATAATTATTTATATATTTTTATATATTAGTTCATTCATTATATAATATTCATTTCTGATGTTATCAAATTCACATGCGTTCAATTTATCTGTTTTCTCCTTTTATCAAATATTCTATTCATTATAATAAATTTGATATAGCTTTTTTCATTTTAAACACATTTTGAAAAATTTTTACATAGGAAGAAGGAGAATATATAATTGGAAATTTGTATGGATGTATGCAAAAAGAGAAAAACTATTCTATTATCAACAAAATAAATGATGTAATATAAAAAACAAAAAAAATTAAAAATTAATATTAGGATTTAAGAAAATAAATTAAATTTTATTTTTCTTTTTATTAAAAAAAAAAAAAAAAAAAAATGAAAAGAGTAAATTTTAAATTTAATTAGACTGGAAAACTTAAAACTTCATTTGTTTATTTTATTAAAGGATTATAAAAATTATAAGACATTGTTATGTGTAAAGAGAAATAATATCTTGAAATATTTAATTCTAACTTTAACTGATACAAATTTTTATTTATGGAAAGAAAATGAAGAACACCCTTTGTATATTTCTCCCAAGTAAACTTTCAAATATATTCTTATTTATAAATATATTATATTTTATATTAATTTCTTTATTTTGTGTAATTATTTATTTACCTAATAGTTTTATTTAGTTTAAATATACATTAAATTTATTTTTTTTTTTTTTCAATTTTAAAATATAAATCAATAATTAAAAATAAAATTTTTTACATATTTATCTCAAATGAATACACAATAATCAAAACATCACTTCAAATATTATATTTTTTTTTATTTGTTTTTTCAGGAGTAATGAAATTTATTCTTGTTGTGAATTTAGTCAAACAAAAATTAGTGTAATATTTATAGGAAAAATAAATGGACAAATTGAAATATGGAATTTATTAGATCAAAAAAATCATTATATATATTCATTAACTATTAGTAGTTATAGCTTAACATGCATAAGTATTTTTCAAAATTATGACTCTACTTTATTTAAAAGCTTAGAAAAAAAAACGAAACCAGTAAAAATTGATGATATTGATATTATTTATGAAAATTGTGATGAAATTATAGACACAAATGAATATTTAATGAGTAAAAATGAAGATGGTAAAACAAAAAAAGTAAAATATATATTATAAAGGCTATTTCAAATTTAATTTTTCTTTATTTTATCTTTTTTCCTCAAAATGTTATATTACTTGCTTTCAAAATAATAATACTTCATGTATCTTTTTATATTTTATTCTATCAATATTCAATTTAATTTCTTTTTAAATTGTCACATTTTTTCTTTTTTCTTTTATATTTTTGTTATATAAAGATATTTTTAAGTATGCCTACAACAAGATTATAATTGGAGATTCTAGTGGATGTGTTTTTGTTTATGAAATTGAAGAAAATTTATTGAATTCAGTAATTTCTTTTATATAATGCATATATGTAAAAAAAAAAAAAATTAATTTTTTTCTTTTTTTTTTTTTTTTTTGTTAGTCAAAAGAAGAAATTAGAGAATTTTCACTATGGATAGAAAACAGAATATATGTGAATAAACAAAAATTAAAAAGACAATTAGAATTATTTGAGGTAAATAAAATATTCTCATTTTTTCTTTTTTATATTTAATAAAATACTGATAATTATTTTAAAATGGATTATAAAAATAAAAAAAAAAAATGTTTATAGGAAAAGGAAAAAATGTTAATGAAAGATGAAAAAAAAGTAATATATATACATATATATATGCATATAAAAATAAAGAATAAATATATAAATTTTAAAAATCATAGCTTTCATTCTTTTACGCATGAATATTATAAATGAATATACAACATTGTTTGAAATAAACTATTTATATATATTATTATCTGTTTCTTTTTTTTTTTTTTTTTTAATATATTTATATAGACAAATGAAAGGAAAGAACAATTAAAAACTAAACTTGAAGAAGATTATAAAAATATATTAGAGAAATATAAAAGCTATTTATTAGGTCAAAAAATATAAAAAAAATGGGAGATAATGAAGTAAAAATATTGATTAAATGATTTTTTTTTTTTTTTTTTTTTTTTTTTTTTTATCTTGTTTAAATTCTTAAAACATTTTTGAAGTTATATAAAGTATAATAATAATAAAGCGTAAATAAAAATGTCTTTTTTCCCTCCTTCTATTTACAATCATATTTATATTTTTTCTCATTTACCAATTTGATCTTTAATATGTTCAACCAGCTTTTGTTTTATCCACTTTTTATCATGAGGTTTATATGTCCATGTAGGTTGATGAAATCTATTAAAATGAAGAATAAAATAAAAAAAAAAAATATTAAAAAATTGTTCTCTATAAATAATTTTTTTTTTGATATATTAAAAAATTATATATACAAATGATGAAAAAAAAATGTTATCAATATTTATCCATTATATTTGTTTAATATTTTTAAAAATGTCTATCTATATATTAAAACATTAAATTAATTATTTTTCTTCTTTTTTTTTTTTTTAAATTACAATAATAAAGTCATTTTTTGTATGTTATCAATATATAAAAATAAATCATTCATATTATATGTTATTCTTTGAACTGAAGGATCATTTTCTTTTATAGCTTGCTCATATAATTGACAAATTCCTAAAAAAAAAAAAATAAATATAAACATAAATATACATATATATATATATTAAAGGATTCTATTTATAAATATTAATTCAATATATATGAACCATTTAAAGCTAATTTTAGAGAATTATATTCAACAAAAGTTCTGCTTTCTATTTTACGAGAAAATTGAACTAATAGCACAACATCGCTATAAGATGGATTCATTTTTTTTTCTTTTTTTGACTTTATTTTCCTATTTTTTTTTTTTTTTTTTTTTTTATTTCTTATTTTTATAACAAAAAAAAAAATATATATTTCTCTCTTTAATGGAATATTTATTATAAATTTTTTAATTTTTTTTTTAACCCTTTTTTTTTTTTTTTTACCCTTAATTACAATAAAAAATTATTTCATTGAAAAAAAAATTATAATAATATAATTAAACACTTTTATTTTAAATTTATTCATATATGAATACATAGTTTTATATAAACATATGAGTGCCAAAGCTTTGGTCATTCAATAAATGAATAATAACAAAAAAAAAAAAAAAAAATATAACACTTAATAATTGTTTAAATTAAAAAAAAAAATTAATTTTTTACTAAACTTACATTATTAATCCATTTTCTTTAAAGTATAATTTTATATCTTAAAAGAATATAAAATAAGGAAAAATGATAAAATAAAATTATATGTAAAGTATTCATATATTAATAAAATGTATTAAAAAAATAATATGTAAAAGTAAAATATTTAAAAAACAAATAAAGAAATGGTAGAAAAAAAATTTCATAGCATTACTTCCTAAAAAGTATAGATCAAATTTAGGCGTATCTTTTTTTAAAAATATATATATGATTTATTATTTTTGTTGTTTAAATTTTATGTAAAAGAAAAAGATATTTTTTATTTTTATTTATTGGAAAAAAATTTAAATGGATCTGTTACTATTATATATATATTTTTTTTTTTTATTTTTCTGGGTCATTTAATAAGTAAGGGCTAATTTAATCTTTGACAATCAAAATATAAATAAAAAAAAAAAAAAAAAATTTAATTAAAGGGAATAAAAAGTAAAATGAGTAAAAAAAAAAGATTAGTTAATTGCAAATTTTAAATATTTCCATATTAATAGTATTATTTTTAAAGAATAAAATTGAGGGAAATATATAATTTTTGTAAGAAAATAATGATATAAGAATTTTTTTTCAAATAAAAACACATCATAATTTACCATAGTATAATAAATATTTATATAATATAGTGTTCTGCAATGACAGTAAATAAAATTTTAAGAATCATTTAATTTATATTATCAAAGGGAGAGTGTAAAGTTATATATTTTATTTATTAATTATATATTTAATAACAGTATAATTATCCTTGAATATTTATGTGTTACGTATGTGTATTGCAACCATTTTATATTCTTTTTTTTTTGCTATTATACGGAACTATATATATACATATATAATCTGAATTACTTTTAATTTATTCATAAAGAATAATATTATCTTAAAAAATTTCTTAAAAAAATTGCTTAAAAAAATTGCTTAAAAAAATTGCTTAAAAAAATTGCTTAAAAAATTGTATCGTTTTTTCATGATATTTTTTTTTATGTATAAAAATACAAAAAAATATTTTAAAAAAATATATAACTCTATTATTTTATAGAATTTTTTTTTTTTAAAACTCCCGATTATTTTTAATTAAATTTCAAAAGCGTATATAAATATTTTTTTTTTTAAAAGTTTTATGACAAAAAATATGCAAAGAAAATTATTTGTTTTGATTTAAAAATTTTCTAAATAGAATATGTTTATCAGCAAATTTTTTTGGTGCGTTTTTTTTTTTATCATTAAATGTTACATCTATATTGGATGCTAATTTTAACAAGCTTCCATTTTCTACTTTTTTTAAAGAATCTTCCTTTTTATTTGAAAATCCATTAATGTTACTTTTATTAATCTTTGAATTTTCTTTATTAAAATTTTGATCTTCAAATAAATCATCATCTTCATCCATATTCCCATCGTCTGTGCTAGCTAAAATGCATTTTAATAAGTTATCTTGAATTTTTTTATTTTTATATACTAAATTTATTTTATTAAAATCAACAATATTATCACTATGAACATTATATGCATATCCTTGATTAATGAGAAATTGTTGTCTTTTATCAGAGTAACACATTTCTATTGTGTCTTTACTAACTAAACTATAAAAGAAGGAATCAGGTTCATTTATATTTTTTTTTTCATTGGCTTTATTTTTAGGTCTTATAATTCTTCCTAATCTTTGTGCTTCTTGTCTTCTTGATGCAAAATTAAAAGAAATTTGAATAACAACATTTGCTATAGGAATATCAATTGCATTATCTCCAACTTTACTTAATAAAATAGTATTGATAGATGAATCATTTTTAAATTTATTTATGATAGCAATTCTTTCAATTGGAGATAACTTTCCATATATAAATGGTTTGTTTAACGTTTTAGCAATATGTAGTAAAGCAAAAATATTATCACTGAAAACAATAATTTTATCATTATTTTGTTCATGATATTTAATTAAATATTCACACATCATTAATTTTTTAGGGTTACATGTATATAATCTTCTTTTAATAAAACTATTAGACTTTAAATAATATTTATAAAAAGAACCAGGCATACTACACCATATTTCTTTACATAAAGCTTTAGCTAAAAATCCCTTATTTTGTAATTCCACCCAATTAGCTTCATATAATTTAGGTCCAATAATCCACTGCAAATCTCTAATCAACAAATCTTCTCTTACTAAAGTTGCTGTTAAACCAAGTTTACAATGAGATTTCACAATATCATTTATTCTTCTAAAAGATGGTGCAGGTGCAAATTGAACTTCATCAAATACTAATAATCCCCACTCTCTTCTTCTAATATCATTAACAATTTTTAAACTCTGTTCACTTCTTTTTCCTGAATACGACAACATAGTATATGTAGAAATTAAAACACCTGCTTCGTTAATTGGCCATAAATCAAACTTGTAATCAGATGTTAATATTCTTAAATGCCTTGGGTGAATATTAGTGAAATCCTCAAACTGTTTTTTCCATTGTTCAACTGCTACTGCTGATGTTGTTAAAAATAATGATGACTTTTTAATTGTACTAGCTGCTGTTATCCCTGTTAAAGTTTTACCTACACCACAAGGTAAAACTATTATACCTGACCTACTTCTTCCATTACTAAACATTTTTCTTAATGCCTTTTCTTGATAATATCTTATTTGCACATGGCTTTTTAATGAACATATTAAATTAGGATTTTTTTTATCTCTTCTAAAATCATATTCCATTAACAATGGTCTTTGCATAGTCTGCAATGCTTCTTGTTTTACTTCTTCTATTTTATCGCAATTCACTTCAAACGAATATACTTCTGATGAATTTCCCAAATTTTCATTTATATTTTCATTTATATTTTTTTTTTCTTGAAAAATCAATTGTTTTTCACTTTCGCTTATCTTGAATCCTATTTTTAAAAAAAATCAAAGAAATTTTAAATTTTTATTATAAACATAAATAGTAAAATTAAAAATAACTATGTATATATATATATATGTCAAATAATGTAGCAAAAAATAGTAAAAATATATATCATTAACAAAAAAAAAAAAAAAAAAAAAAAAAAATAATTTTTATAACCTAGTTGGGTGGTATCTAATACAGGTGCTTCATAAGTTACATAAGATTCTTCATTCTTATTTTCATTACTTTTTTCATTTAAAAAATTGTTAGTGTTATTTGTTATATTATTATTGTTATTTTCCTTATATTTTTCTTCTAAAATACTATCATTCATATTACACACACTTTTTATTTTTTGTTCATTATTATCATTAGAATATATCCTTGCATTTTTTATGGAATTATTATTTAATAAATAATCTAATTCTGATTTATTTGTAGCTTCAATATAATATTTATTTTCTCTTAGTACTAATTTAACTTTACCAAATGATTCAGCACTTTTTGTAATATTATGAACTAATTCTTTAGGTAGTACATTCTTAGAAAACTTATCTAAATTTATTAATAATTCATCAAGTGTAATTCCTACAGATATTGCTGCATATAAAGAAAAAATAGTTAATTGGAATTCATGAATTAATTCAGGTCTGCATATTGGTTCAGCTATCGTAATAAGAAAATCAGATGCCTGTTTACTGCAACTATTAAACATTTCCAAATATATAAATCCATCTGAACATATCCACATTGGTTTATTCATATGATTTTTTTTTAATTTCATATCTTTACTGTAATCATGAAATCCTTTTTGTTGTATGTTTATAGAATCTGCACTAAATGGTAAATTTATTACTTTTTTATCAAAATGCATTTCATAAAATTCTTTAAATTTGTTTTTTGCCTTTTTTGTAAAATCTCCACTGGAACTCCCTTTTCTATAAAGTAACAAAAAAAAAAAAAAAAAAAAAAAAAAAAAAATTTAAATTATAAAGAGAAGTAACATTAAATGTATAGTTTAAAATAATATATATATATATATATATTAATCTAGTATTAATTATGAACTTAATTATCATAATTTTTTTCTTTTGTAATCAACTAATTGAAATGATACTATTTGAATATATTATTATTATGTTGCAGTTTTCTTTTAGTAAAAGAAATGTAAAAATAAAAATTACATACTAATTTTGTTTTCTTACATTTTTTTAGAAGCCTTCAATTTACGTCTTTTCTCATTTTTTGCATAATAATCCTCATTTAAAATATCTTTTCTCTTATAATAACTTTTTTTATTAGTACTTTTTGTAATATTATTATGTGTATCTTCAACTTTTTTCATCTTTTAGCTTTTTCTTAATTAGTCATGTTATTTATTCAAAATGTAACAAAAAAAAAAAAAATAAAAATAAAAAAAAAGTAGGCATAATAGTGATATTTATATGATAAATAGTTGAAGAGTTTCTATAATTTCAAAAATCCAAAAATTATTACAAAATCTATGAATATAAAATAATATTTAGAAATAATAGAAAAAAAAATAAATAAATCACAATAATTAAAATGCTACAAATAATAAGAAGTTAAAAATAAAATTGTAAAAATGCAATATAATAATAATCAAACTTAAATATTACTAAAAAAAAAAAAAATTTTTGAGTTTACAAAATCATTTTCGAGTTTCAAAAAAAAAAAACATGTGAAAGTGATAACATTTCAATGACACACATTTTTATAATTCTAATTTTCAATGTTATAACCTTTTAATGATTAAATATTCTACACTTCAATTTAAGATTTTATTCTTTTTATGCTTTACCCTTTTAATTCACGATTACATATAGCTCTTTTATACATTTTTTTTTTTCTTTTTTTTTAAATTTTCAAAAAAAATAGTTTTAAAAAAAATTTTAAAAAATCATAAAATAATTTTTTTCATTTTTATTTTTTTGTATATATTTAAAAGAATTGTAATTATAAAAACAAAGTGGAAAAAAATATATTATTAACAAAAGTATAACTAGGACTTTTTTTTTTTTTTTTTTTTTATATCATAAATAGATAAATAATTTATATTAAAAATTAAAAAAAAAAAAAAATATATACAAATATGTATTTTTTTTTTTTTTATTTAAAAAGAATATTTTATTTATAATTACATTTTAATCTATTTATTTATTTATTTTTAAAACAAAAAAGAAATATTTATATATATACCAATAAAATATATTTAAGCATTTAAATGCATATATATATATATATATATTTATATTTACAAATATATGATTCATATTAAAATTTTGACATTTTTTATTTTTTTTTCATTAAATCTCCTGATTTCTAATTTCTGCCAACATTTTGATAGCTTGATTCAAGGATTCAAGATTTTTTTTACAATTATTTCTTTTTACTTTGATAGATGAACATTCATTAAATAAATTAAATAATTCATCATTATGTAAATTAGAAATTAAAACTTTCTGCATAGTTTTTCTTGACGTATTAACCATGAAATGCATAATAGCCTTTGGAACTGCATCTGCTATATGCTTACGTACAATATTGAAATAATTATTAATTAATGATTTTATTAAATCTATTTCTATTATTTCTTTAGAAGAAGAAGAATATTCAGGTATAATTTTATCAGGTATAACTGGTAAAACAAAAACATTTTCTCTAGTAGTACTATTAATACTTGTAATTTTTGTTCCTTCTTTATTTTTTAAGTATTTTACATCCTCTTTATTTTTCCATATTTTTGTTTCTTCTTTAAATGTATGATGAGTCAATGAGCAAATGGTGTTATCGCTATTTTCTTGTTGTTCTCTCTTTTTGTTTTGGAATTTGTGTGCACTTAACACACTATCTGATTCTTCAACATAATCATTGTCTTTATCGTAAACATTTTTCATAAAGTGCTCATTTAAAAAATCAGGGTGACTAGTATTAATATAAGATAATTCAATTAACATTAAATTTTTTATCATTTCTTTAGTTGGCTGTAAGCAATCCTTTAAAAGTATTTTTACTTGTTCATTTATGGCACTTTTTAAATTTGTAAATCTTTCCATATCTGGTATTTTGCAATTATCAACAATTTTAATAAGTTCTTCATAAACTTGATCAGCACAACGAAGTGATGGTTCTTTTAAACAATTTATTAATTTTTTTATTAAAGTTTCAAAAGCACTTTCTGGTACAAATAATGCACCTCTTGGTCCACTTGAGTTTCTTATAGCAATTCTAATTTCTTCATCGGTTAACATTTCTAGTGGTGAAAAATCATTTAAGGATTTAATATACCAATCATTAAAAATGTAATGTATTCTTGCTCCTCCCTTTAATTCATCTACTCTATCTTTATAAAATACCTTTCCATCAATTATGTCCTGATATTGCTGAGAAAATTTAGTTATATAATTTACAAGAACTGCTAAATATTCTGAACGGTTCATATTTTCCATTGGTTCTCCTAATTCTAGTAATCTTTCTTCTTCAATACTTTTTAAGGAATCAATTTTAGGTTTTAAAAATGGTACCGTATTTTTAATATGTTCAATAAGAATATTATTTAATTTTTTAGCTAAATTTTTTATTCCACATTCTAAAATACATTCAATTTGATTAGTAACATCTATACTTTGATTAAAATATTCTTCTTCCTTTTTTATAGATTCTTCAATACTAATATTATCATCTACATCTTTTTGACTCCTACACACAACAGCTACGAACCCTTTTTTTAAAGGATAGAGAGATCCACTAATCATTTTTTTCCATATTTCTGGTTTTTCAACCATATCACATTTTGTTATAACACCTATTGTTCTTTCATGCATTGGATCTACACTTCTTGCCATTTTCAAACTATCTGAATTTGCTAAATCAATATTAGCACAAGAAACAGCTAAAATGATACAATTAGGATTTTTTATATATTTATTTACTAAATTAACAATTTGCTCTTCTACATTATAAGGTTGATTTCCAACAGGAACTTTAGTTAATCCAGGTAAATCAATTAATGTTAAATCTAAAACGTTGTTTTTGTGTATTTCTAATATAATTGGAGTTTCTTTTATACATTTATTTCCCCCAGTAATTTCTTCAGTCACATCTACTAGTATTTGATTTAATAAAGTAAAATCATCAATATGTTTTTCCACTTTATTGTTTTCATAATCTGAGTAAGTCAAAGTGCAATAGCAATCTTCTGACTTTGAATTTGTTAGCTGTATTATAATAGGAGTTCTTGTTACAATATCCTCCCCTTTAGGCATAAAACTTAATCCAACTAAAGATTCTAACAAAGAAGTTTTGCCTACAGATTGAGCACCCACTACTGCTATATGTGGCAAACTTAATGCTTCACTACTTATAAAAGATGAAAGAACATTCTGCAATTTATTTACTACTGGAACTAATTTATCCATTTTTATTTTTACTTGTAATAATAATGAAAATTATTAATTAAACATAAAAATTATTCAAAAAAAAAAAAATGTATACTAATTTTTTTTTAAAACCTTATATAAAAAAAAAAGAAATAAATTAAAGTATTATTAACCCTTCACAAAAATTAAAGACAAAAAAATTATTATAAATATATTATGCAAATTTAACGAAAGTTTTTAACGAAGAAAGTTAAAAATACTAATATATATAATTATTTATAAATACTTGAAAAATTCCTTTTTTAATAAAATTTTTACTTTTAGACAATAAAAAAGAATATTTTTATATAATTGTAATATGTATTTACATTAAAAAAAAAAAAAATTAAGAAAAAATAATATGTAAAAAATAACTAAAAAGAATAATAAATGACAAATATATTAATAGAATAAATATAGAAAAAATGTATAAAAAAAGGATAATAATATAAAAAAATATAAAAAATGGATAAAATATATCAAAATAAAGAAAATATTTATATATATATATATATAAATATATATATATATATATAGAAAATAAAGAATAAAATATATTTTGTTAATAAAATACCTAAATGTACATGCCTTCTATTCATCTTCAAAAATATAGTTCAAATTATAATGAAATTTAAAATTCATTTTCTTTTATTAATGTTAAAGATTATTTATGAGATGTATAATTTTTAATTTGTTACATTTCTAATCTTAAATGAATTTTTTTATAATTACAAATTACATAGTATTCCATATCTTTATTAATTATAGTAATATAATTTATATAAAAAAATACTTGTTACAACTAATACTTAAAATATTCATATTATTATTATTATTATCTCAAATATAGTTTTTTTTATTTAAACTTTTTTTTTTTTTTTTTTCTTTTCTTTAATGCACACAAATATTTAAGATATATTCTTTAAAGTTTTCATTTTAATATGAAATCTTAAAATTCTATTTTTGTGTTTTATAAAAAAAAAAAAAAAAAAAAAAAAAAAAAAAAATT